CTCCTCATCACCTCTATTTATTCCTACTTAGGGTATTCAGGTTTTCAGAGACAGGGAGTTGGAAGGGAATCTAGGTAATACAATGTATTAAATGATAGGTAGGTGTTTTTAAAATTACGGTTCAAAGACATCATCCTGGAGGTTTGTGAGGTCTGTGGGAATTTATGGTTTCCTTCAGATAATAAGTTAATATTTATTGATCACTTAACATACACCAAGGAGCTCTGGTGGTGCCATGGCCAAAGCATTGGGCTGTTAACCAAAAACGGAGGTTTGAACCCACCAGCCGCTCCACAGGAGAAAGACAAAGCAGTCTGCTTTTGTAAATATTTACAGCCTTGGAAACCCCGTGGGGGTCACTATGAGTTGGAATTGACTCAATGGCAGTGGATTTGGGTAACATATGCCAGATGCTGTTTGAAATGCTTTACATGTATGAACTCATTTGGTTTCACTATAACACTATAAAGTGGGTATTCTGATTCACATTTAACAGGTCAGACTAAGGCATGGTGAGAGGTCGTTATTAGCCCAAGGTGACAGCTGGTAGGAGTCCCTGGGTGATGAAAACAGTTATGTGCTTGACTGATAACTGAAAGTTTGGAGGCTTGAATCCACCCAGAGGTACCTTAGAAGACAATCGTGCTGATCAACTTCAAAAAAATCAGTCATTGAAAACTCTGTGGAGTACATTCCACTCCGACACATATGGGTCACCGTGAGTTGGAATCAACTCAATAGCCAATGGTTGGTTATAAAAGCTGGTAAATGGTGGAACAGGAACTCAAAGCCAAACAGCTCCATAGCTGATAATCTGGATCACCCTGTTATGCTATCATCTGAGATCCACTGGGTCCCGATGGTTCCAGATGACCTCATTGTATGTCTGGCAGTTAGCTGGGGCTATTGGATGGGCCTCCTTCTCCATGTGGCCTTTCCAGCAGGGTAGCCCAGACTTCTTTCTATGGCAGCTAGATTCAAAAAGGGCAAGTGTCATGGGGAAAATGACCTCGATGCAATGGTAATATCCAAGTATATCACCAAGTAGGCTGTCTCATAGGCCATGGAACAGATAGGCTTATAGACCGGATTAAGAAGCTTGAATCACATTGTCTATGTAGCAATTAAAACATGACCTTAAATTCATTGTCGTGCCTTCCATTGAGAGGTGGAAGGCAATATCCCAATCCCTTAAATCTGGGCTGGCCCTAGTGGCTTCCTTGTAGAATACAGTGGAAGAGATGCTGGGTGACTTCTGAGGATACATCAGGAAAGACTAGGAGCTACTGCTTGGCTCTCATGAGGCCCTTGTTCTAGGGAAAGAAAGCTACCAGGCAGGAAGTCCAACCACTCTGCAGCTGCCATGCAGGAGAGGCTGCTCTGCTGGAGAGAAGGTGCTCTGGTCCACAGCCTCAGCAGAGCTTCCAGGCTATTGTCACCATCAGCTGTCATTCATTGGAGTCAGCCATCTTGGATTTCCAGTCCAGTTGAAGCTTCAGATGACAGCAGGTGTGGTTGACATCTGATTACTCTTTGAGAGATCTCAAGCAAGAACTGCCCAAGGAAGCCCTTCCCGAATTTCTGAGCCACAAAATCATAAGCAAAATCTACTGGCTGTTTTAAGTCACTGTATTTTGACATACTTTGTTATGCAGCAACATTAACCAGTACAATTTACTGACAAATTTAAAACACAGACTGAGAAGCAAGGAGAAATAAAGGGGGTAGATTAACAAACTTGGGATAGGGTATAAGCAGAGTGGAAGGACCACAGTATTTAAATTCTGGTTTTGATATGTCCTCTCTCACTCTGCCATGTTAGTCTTCTCTGCAGATAGGGTGTTACTGAGGACCAAAGCAGAGAGGTTTGTTCAGCAGATTGAAGGGGCCTGGAACCAACATACATCTGTTTTGTCGCAGAGATGCAAGGGCAACTGTGTCTGGATATTACTGTATTTAGCTGTTAGCCCACTAAGTAACTAGGGATTTTACCTGCTTTTCTTGGTCAGAGGTCATAACGGGTGTCACCTGTAGGGGACCAATTTAGAAATGTCAGAGCTGCCAATTAGAGATAGTATGATCCATGCTTTATTAATATTTAAGGTTTACTTGGTCTTTCCAGCCCTTTCTAAAGTAGCCTTTCCTTTATTCAATCCTTTTGATCTATTTTCAACACATATCCATTTTTTCCTATATGCAAGATATCTCATAAATAACTTGCAACTATACTTTCCCTTATTTTCTACAGCAGAATGAAATACTATAAAATGTCACACCGAATGCATTACAGCAAGCCCCAATGAGCAAGCACTTAGCAGGTCAGGTTGGCTGATGTCCCATTCATTGGTCAGAGCAAGTCACACCACCAAGCTCACTGTTCATGTGGGAAGAGACCATCCAAGGGAGTGAGTATCAGCAGGCATGACTCACTGGGAGCCATTATTGTAATGATAGACTACTAACACAAAGCTAGGAAATGGTTGATCCAGGGATCAAACTTTCAGCAATCTGTTTCTGGGGCCAACATACAGAACTGATGTCCTAGAGGCTGTTGGGAATGGGTTCTTATTGAGGAGCTTTTCAACGCTCACTTTCCAGGCCTAAACCCAATTCAATAAATCAGAGTCTCTTGGGAGATAAGGGCAAGAGGATGGCCAGTAATCCCAAACCCTTGAGACTGAAAAAGCTCTGCAGAGGATTCCAATACACCAGGGAAGGTAGGAGGTGGAGGGAGGGAGGAATGGGAGCTCTTCAAAGATGAGAAGACACGGACCAGCACATAAAGAGCTTGAATTTTCCACAGAGAACATTCTTAATCATCATATTATACCACAGAAGGATTGCCCTGAAATTAAAAACAAAACAAAAACTCAACCATTATTTTTCACAGTTCTTTAGGAGCTCTGGTGGCATAGTGCCTAAGGCATTTGACTGCTAACCAGAAGACTAGCAGTGCAAACCCACCAGCCACTCCTCAGAAGGAAGA